CCCTACAGAATGAAGACTGTTACTTTCTTAGGCCTAAAGGCCTATGATCTGGTATCATTGGCTTAGAGATGTGCTAATCCTATAAAACTGCCTGGCTTGTTTTTTTTTTTTTTTCCTTCTGAATATTTTGGATGTTCCCTGGACAACATAAGATAAGCAACTGAATATAGCTTTAATTCGAACCTTCCATAGCATGTGCCATTGTCTTTTTTACAGAGGAATGTTTGCAGGAGGACTGAGAGAGATGGAACAGGAAGAAGTTCGTATCCATGGCATCTCCTACAATGCAATGTGTAAAATCCTGAACTTCATTTACACTTCTGAGCTGGAACTCAGTGTGAACAGTGTTCAAGAAACCTTAGCTGCAGCCTGTCAGCTTCAGGTGAGGCACTGGGAGATGTGACAAAAAAGAAGCAAGAAACAAAAGCAACAATGAAAGAAACAAAAAACCTGGATATCTGGTGGGTGGAGAGTTAGGGGTGAATGAAAGTGTTAGAAGAGGCTTTTCCAAGTACATAAATGGCTGTGATGAGAAGAATTTCGTTTGGATGCTGTAGCCACTGGAACGAGCTATGGAAGGGTAGGGACAATGAATGAGTGCTTGTACATCTCATTCATGCCAATGGTTTTATTATTTATAAACCTTTACTATTTCACCTAAAGAACTATTTTCCATAGCGCTCACTTCCTCTGACCTGCTTATGAAAGCTTCCCTAGAATGGAATACCTCTGGCCTATGGTAAAGGACAGGGCTTGCTGCTCAGAAATTGTTGCACTGCTCAAAGCTACCAAAATCTTCCACTGACTGAGTCCACAGGCACATAACCTCCCCTGGCCACATCTCTACAGGGTATCCTACACCATGGTTTCCACGCTAAGCGCAGAGTTCTTGTGCCTTCAAATAGGTGTGGGGGGGTTCCCTCTTAATTTTCTCTGCAGCTAATGGTTGCACAGGCTTTGGTACTAACTCATGAACTTTCTGAGTGGTTTGTTTGGTTGATCTTTACACAGTTGCAACAGTTTGTTAGCAGAGGGACTCTTGCACAGCAGTTATTTCTCTATTTGCCAGTAGTCCCTCCTGCCAGAAACAACTTCAAGCTGTACTCAGAAAACAACATTAAATACTAATTTTCCTTTCAAATGGCTTCCTACGCACTTGAGTGGTGCAGTCTAGCATGTTATTCTATTATATATACAGTCTCTGGCACACTATGTCTATAGCGCTCTGAAAGATCAACTCATGGAGTGGCTGTAAACCTGCCTTTCTCTACGTCCTTCATGCCTTCTGTTTACATAGCTGTGTCCCAGGCAGCCTGCACCTTGGTGGCATGCCAACAAGCCAAGCAACCTGGCTGTCCAGTGCCCCAGGTGCCTTGGAAGACACATTACGGCTGCACCTGAAGCCAAACTTGTAGGCTTGCAGTACAGAAAACAGCATGGCTAGAAGATCTGTATTGTATTCATTTACAAGCCCATGCTGGGTTGGTATTTTTCTCTTGAGAACAGTGAACTGGGCACAAGTGACCATAGCGGTCAGATTCTGTGAGCAGAGCAGTCTTCTTGGGAACAACTTTCTTACAGTCTTCCCAGGCTTGCACTCCATGCTTCTGTAACATGTCTTTCAAGCGTAAGGCAAGTAGTGTCTGAAATAACGAATCTTCTCTCTTGCAGATTCCAGAAGTCATTAAGTTCTGTTGTGATTTTCTCATGTCCTGGGTAGATGAAGAGAACATCCTGGATGTATACAGATTAGCTGACCATTATGACTTGAGACATTTGAGTGATCAGCTGGACTCCTACATTTTGAAAAACTTTGTAGCTTTCTCAAAGACACAAATGTACCGGCAGCTACCCTTCCAGAAGGTCTACTCCCTCCTCAGCAGCAACCGTTTGGAGGTTAACTATGAGAATGAGGTTTATGAAGGGGCACTTCTTTATCATTATTCTCCAGAGCAACTGGAGACAGATCAAGTCTCTCTGATGGAGCCCCCTAAGCTACTTGAGACAGTTCGTTTTCCTCTGATGGAACCCCAGATCCTGCAAAGGCTTCATGACAAATTAAGTCCATGTCCTTTAAAAGATAAAGTAGCAGATGCACTCATGTACCACAAGAATGAATGTCTTCAGCCAATGCTTCAGACCTCCCAGACACAGCTGAGGTCAGAGTTCCAGTGTGTAGTGGGATTTGGAGGGATGCATTCTACTCCATCCATAGTCCTCAGTGATCAAGCCAAATATCTGAACCCCTTGCTGGGAGAGTGGAGGCACTTTACGGCTCCACTAGCCCCCCGAATGTCCAACCAGGGGATTGCTGTTCTCAATAATTTTGTATATTTAATTGGAGGAGACAACAACGTACGTGGTTTTCGAGCAGAGTCAAGGTGCTGGAGGTAAGCCAAAGATAATTCTGCTACTATTTTTATTACTAGCCTGTTGCCCTTCTCTGAGTCAGTAAGCCATGAGCAGAGTCTGCACACTTGCTGACCAAGAGATCAGAACAGAGGCCTCCCTGAAAAACCACAAGAAATAAAGGAATAAGCCTCATAGTAACAGGAAGCTTTCATCTGTGCTTATGGGACAAAGCCAAGCCTGATGGGGTAGAAGCAGCTATTCATATGACATTCAGTCATTACATTACATTTATATTACATATGCTACTTTCTCTACCTTGGAGAGGGAAGTACTAAAAGCGCAGACTGCAGTAATAACTAGGATTCTCTAGATGTTGTCTGTGTGCAGTTCTGGCCCCAATAGGAAGGGATCTAGCTATCAAAAAGGTTTTTCAAATAAAATGCTATTATTAGTTGACTATTGTGAATTTGTGTGCACAGTAGCAGCGCTCCAGGGTCCGCTTAAGTTCTGCTGTGCCAGGGAGAAGAGCAGGGGGAAGGGTCAGTTTTAGATCTTAATGCCCATAACATTGTGAACAGATATAAACCCTTTTGTCTTTGCAATGTGGTCATTTTTACTAGTTTTAGCTGAGCTGCCCTTATTTTATAGCATGCCTAGTCTGACTACACTTCCAGTTTTCTCTGTAACTAAAATTTCCAGACCAAATAGATATTTTGCATGGCAAATTAATCATGAGGTTCCGTTTGAACAGATATTTGGGTAAAAGAATCAAAGAAGCCACAAAATATGTATGCCCCTCTTGGCCCCTTTAAGATCCAGATGTAGTCTTTGCAGTATTTTCAGATGGCTGTACCTTGTAGAATGGCTTTATGCAAGCAGAGATTTTGATCTATAACCTGACAGCAGTGCAGAAGATCATGGAAAAAAATAGGCTTTTACAGCATGATAATATCTACTAAAATACATCTTCTAAAAATAGAACAAAATACCTTTGCTAATAATCAAATGCTGACAAGGCCAAATTTCACTCCAGTTACAGCTGAGCTGAATTTCAACCAAAGACAGTATAGTAACCCACATCTGTGGTATTGTCTTGCATTCCAGCAACGATTCTGTGGCTGTATGAATAACTTTGATCCTATTCCTTTGCAAGGTATGACCCACGACACAACAGATGGTTCCAGATCCGGTCCCTACAGCAAGAACATGCTGACCTCAGTGTTTGTGTTGTGGGTGACTATATATACGCTGTCGCCGGGCGAGATTACCACGAAGACCTGAGGGAAGTGGAGAGGTATGACCCTAAAAGCAACACCTGGGAATATGTGACACCTCTGAAGAAGGAGGTAAGGAGTGCATTAGTCACACATACCGATACACTTCCCCGATACCCAATGTCATCCTTTTTAGATGCTTTTCTCATGTGTAGGTTTCCATTTGCTGAAATTGAAATGAGAAACAGTAGCCTCTGTATGTGGGATAAACAAATACCAAGAAAGAAGAAGAATGTATATAACTTCCATGTTGAGGTTAAATGCTTATTTTTCCTGTTTTCTTGTTGTTTTCCCCTGCAAACCTTTGTTGTATTCACTTTTAAAACCGTTTATAATTGAACACACAGCCACCAGGAACAGGAAGTTCCCTTTCCTTCTAGAGCAGGTAAAACATGAGCAACAGTAGGACAAGTTTCTCACTCACAATTCTGACAACAAACCTCAGTCCTGATCAGGAGAGATCACCCCCTAGTGAGAAGGTACTTCAGTTTCTATAGACTACTTAATTCTTCGACACAAAAGATGTGTGATTGTGTAATAAGTTCTGATGGCAATAGCTTACATGATGCAGCATGACATCTCAGTCAACTAAAGTGAGACCATTACTCATTTGAAATATATCAGTGAGCAGCTATCCTATGACATCCGTTCCATTTGTCCTTCTAACACAGCAACTGCCAGACTAGCATGCATGACCCCAGGAGCCAGGAAATGTTGTAGTGACATGGGAATTGTGATTTTGAGTGGAAAAGATTGTTCTAAGAATTTTGCTTAAAAAGGCAAGAATTTCTATTCTTAGATTAAAAGTGCTGCAAAAGGAGGAAGCTATAAAGGAACAACTGCTTGGTAAACCTTGGTTAGGGAAGAAAACTGAGATCCTAATTAATCTTTCAAGAAACTATGCTGACTTCTACTACACCTTTTAAAAGCTTTGTGGCAAGTCACCAGCACAAAAGAATACTTGTGATTTCATAATGCCTCTCTCTCATTAAGAATCTCAAGATACCTTAAAAACATAAATATTATTGCCATGTTATGTAATGGATGCAGAAGCAGAAGAAGATAAACAGCTTGCATGTGATCACAAGTAATAAGTGTGTGTCAATGCTGGGAATAAAAACAGCTTTAAGATCCAATTGAGTGCGACTAAGTAGGCTATCTTGCCTTCCTGATAACATTGTCAATGCCTGTATAGTACTTTCATCTCCAGCAGAAAGGCTTCCAAGTAGAGAAAAGGGAGAAAAGAAATAGTATGAACAATAGCCTGATTAAGGAACAATAATGAATGAGAACCCGCTGCAGTTCTGGAAGTTTTGAAAATTTTTGTGTATTTCATTCAGAACTTAAGGCTCACACTTACAGCATAATCACCTAGAAAGGAATTGTCCATAAGAAGATCCTCCCAGATGTTGGTATCTGAGAAATTCATGAAAAATGTCACTCCCTTAATGACTATGCCATTCTTTGAAACTGGGAGAAATACATAAATCCAGCCCTTAACCTCTCACTTTCCCATGTGATGGTGCAGGTGTATGCACATGCTGGAGCAGCACTGGATGGGAAGATGTATATTACCTGTGGGAGGAGAGGAGAAGACTATTTGAAGGACCTACAATGTTATGACCCAAAGACTGACCGCTGGGACATTTTAGCAGATGGTCCAGTCAGACGTGCTTGGCATGGGATGGCTGCACTTCTAGGAAAGCTCTATGTAATTGGAGGAAGCAACAATGATTCTGGCTACAGAAGGGATGTTCATCAGGTGAAAGCGCATCATACCTGTTTCTTTCTTGCAAGAGTCTATTTCTTGTGGATGCTTGCACTCTGACGTAATGTCTTCCTCCCACTAAGTATGCATATAAAACTGTCTGCCCAGCAACAGCTTACTGCACCAGCTCTCCTCCACTTAACTGAGGAACTTGCAGTGATTTATCTACTGCTGTCTGTCTTGCATGCAATGTCTAACCCACACACTTTAATGCTAGAGCATTAAAGCTCTAGCACTTTGGGTTCCTATCAATTTTCAAACATCTTTGAAGAATAACATTCACCCGCATGCATATACCCAATAAGTAGCACGTCAACTGAATTTACTTTAGATTGTCTTCTCACTTCCATTTTTTCCTAATTTAAGGACTTTTTAATTAGCAGTATGTAATTCTAGGACAAAAGTTGATAAGGGTATGTTGAAAATGGCAATGAATAGATTGGAAAGCAATTGTATCATGCAGTTAAATACACAGAGCCTGATAGTAAGTGACAGCTAGAGAAACGCTTCTGGTGACTTATTCCAGCCTCCAGAACTGCTGGGGATGTGGAAAGAAGACACAAAAAGTAACTGTTTTTATAAAGCCAATGAAGATGGCATACTTTCAATCTATCTGAAAGTATGTGAAGGATAAAAAGATGCTTACGAATAAAGGGAGTTAGCGAAATAGGTGCCCAATAGAATCTAAAACTTCCCACGTATGCTGCAGAGAGCCTACCAGATTTGGTGTAACACAGACTTCTCCATATGTTCCAGCACATTTTTTCATAACGCAAAGAGATGCACTGTGTCTGAGCTCATATTAGTCCACCGAGCAGTGGACTTCTGTGCGCTGATGTGCTCTCTCCATTATCAACAGCCTCTCAAAAGACTGATGATATTGCATGACTACGTAAATAGTTTGTGATATGACCAGTCTGTCTCTCACTGAGATACAAGTTCCTTTATAGCTAATCTCTTTCTTTGTTTACAGGTTGCCTGCTATAGGCCAAGCACTGATCAGTGGACAAACGTATGTCCGCTTCCTGCAGGGCATGGGGAGCCAGGTATTGCTGTCTTAGACAACAGGATCTACGTCTTGGGAGGCAGGTCTCACAACAGAGGGATCCGCATGGACTACGTTCACGTTTACGATGCAGAGAGAGACTGTTGGGAGGAAGGTCCCCAGCTGGAAGATGATATTTCTGGGATGGCTGCCTGCGTCCTCACTTTGCCCAGGGCTATTTTAATGGACACAGAAAAATGGTACTCAGAATGGCATGCAGACCACCTGCAGAATCACCTTGACTTTCCATCGGAAGTTATGAGCGTGTCAGACTGGGAGGAATTTGACAGTTCAAGTGAAGATTAAAAAATTTTAATATTTATTTTTTGCCAGCAGATGAGGTAATTAAGGCTCGGAGAAAATATTTACAGATTTTATATGTCTTTCTTATTTTAAACATAAATCAGTATTTAAAGGTTTGAAAAATAAGTGTTCTCCACAAAATGCTGTTCACAGTCAATATCTGCCCATCTGCAAGTGCTCTGCACAAAGTGCCACTTACAATCAATATCTGCCCATTTGCCAGAAAGCAGCATTATTAAAGTAACCACAGAACTGCCTTTTTTTCCCAGTTAAATAATAGGAGTTCTATTCCTTTGAAGGAGACTTTTCTCAGCCTTCAGCATGGACAGAAATAAAGGCACAGAAGGCTCAGCTTGACTAGCTTCTTTCCTTCCAGCTTTTAGCTTGAAATAGCTTTTCCAAGTTTTTTCTTTTCTTTTTGGTAATAAAACCTCCTAGCCAGCTTAACACAGGAAGACAAGACCTAGCGCATCCCTCCTGTGCCAGGTGTCAGACAGCTTGATTGGTTATTCAGCAAAATTGAACACACAGAAGCAGGAACAGTAGCAAGAAAGTCTGAACCTTCATCTTATCTGGGCATGCAGCCATCCTCCTAACTGGGTTAGAGTCTGTGATCTGACACCCACTCCTGAACTTCTATACTGCAGCTTCTTTCAACACAGTGGAAAGACGATTTCTCTGTACAGAGTATGGCCATCTCATCATTCAACTGTCAGACATATTTGTTCACAAGCATAAATTAATAAATCCTTGTCAGAACCTTTTTTCTTTTTAACTGCGGTCTCAGTTTTATTTACCATGATGTGGAATCTAAATGTTGGTGAGCTTAATTAGATCCTATATTACTACATTAATATCAGTAAAGTTACATCAGCTCGGGAAATGGCCCTGTTTTTTTATTCTTTTATTATATGCTTTAGAAAGGCATAAAGAGAGCAGAGATTGGCTTGCCACAGCATAAGAAAAAAAGTAACAAGGAGATAACTCGAGGTATCGCAGATTACACTGTGCTAGCTAGCTACGCTAATGCCAGGAAAATAACACGGTATCACTACAGCTCAGAACCATACTGCACAGTAAAGCCTTCCTTCATTAAAATAATTGGCTGCTGACTACCATCTTGCTTGGCATTAGTCTAGAAGCTGATTTAAATCTGAACCAGTGTGACATCTGAACAGTATGGGCTCCTTCCTCTTGGATGGGCAGGAAGCAATCAGTGCCACCAGAAAATCATGACAGAATTGCCATAGCTCTTGTTAAATCTTACAGCAATAACAAGGCTGCAGGAAAAGGGCAAAAACAATGTGACAATTAGAATGATGCACTACTAGTTAATTATCATCACATCATGACAAAGACGCTTTGCACATTGACCTGCTACTACAGAGAAATGGAAGAAGTTCCTAGATACTAATACCACTTAGGGAAATTTTACTTACAGAAACAAAGATTATTTCAAATTAGATCTAGCTGACTCTAAATGAGTGGACTGGGCTTCTGGAAAAGATTCAGGAGGATTTGCACAGTTCTTTTAATAAGCTCAGCAGCTTTTTCTTGATTAGAGGGAGGTGGATTTTTTTCCCCTCCAGCACTGTTAGTTTTCACCTCCATCTCTGAACCACTGCCAATTGGCAAATAAAGCACAGACCTGGTAAATGCAGAAACCCTGCATATAAGCTTCTTCAGGAAGCCCTTTCTGATAACAAACTCTGAACTGCACATGGAGGCTGCAAATAGCTTTTGTTACATTGCAGTATTGGAGACTGAGGAGTATTTATATTTTGCCTACAAAATTGTTTTTAGTATGAAGGAAATAAACATAGTTCTCAAATGTCAGGTGAGATCTCTCTGACCCGGACATCACTAGACCCACTCTTACCAGATTGCACGTGTTGCAGCGGCAATTTGTTTTGTCTGCAAATTGTGAACAAGGCATTCAAGACTTGGTGGTGCAGGTTATCTTCTAAACCCAACTCTTCTAACTAAACCCAGCTATCTAGCTGAAGTCTAATTGTACTGCTTGCAGTGCATTTTACATTTTGACTAGCAGTTCTAGAAAGACCAGTGATGCTCTGCAAGTGAAAATGTTTTCTAGGCTCTTTCATGATAAAAAAACCTTTGTCTGGCTTCTGTTTCCTTTTCCTGTGTATACCACTAGAGGGTATTATATACTATTGCAAATAACCAAGATGATAGGTTAATTCTTGGATTACAGGGGAGAATATAAGATATTTGTGAGTAGTTATTAAGCTAGAGAAACATCTTGTGATAACTCATGTTTTTATTTTTTCCAACTTCTTCCTATCACTCCTTCAGTGTTTGAATACTGATTGTAGATATTTTCAGGTGATCCCCATTTTTCCTATCCATTAGTCAGTATATGCAATTTTGCGATTGCATTATTTATTAAATGTTGCAGCTGGATGCTGTGCAAAGCAAATCAATATAAGGCTTAAAATGTAGTTATGAGGAAATGACTTTTTCTTCAAGCAGATCACATACGTTAGAGAAGTGTTCTACTATTTTTTCTATTTTTTTTCAGTTACTGATAAAATACAGTTAAATTACATCAACTAAACCTAAGAGCAGATATTATGTATTTTGATTTAGCAAAAAACAAAGCTTCAGTTGCTTTCACCCCAAGAATTTCTTTTCATCTGGGGTGTATTGTGACTGTCAAAAGTTATAATACGTACTACCTTACCTGCATGTATTTTGCTTGGGTAGAAAACAGAGTTTAGCTTAGCTCAAACCAATCTAATCATTTAGCAGTAGCTCGCTTTCGTCTAACATGTACCTTTCCAAACCAACACATAGGCTAAACAATAATGAAATTGCTTTGTTTTAGAATTGGCACTTTTACCTAAATTGGCAGGTGTAAAGAGCTTTGTTCTTCTTGTTTACTGCAGTTACATATAGAGAGAAATTGCAAGAGACTATACATTGATATGTTGAGCCATGATTACTATTGATGGGTTTTCTTATCAAAGATAATGCTTCAGGAACCTTGCCTTCATGAGCCCAGTGAAATGTTGTGTTATCTTAAGAAAAAGATGCATAGAGATTTCTGGCTGATTCTTCTTTTTTTTTTTTTTTTTAAATAAATCCTCTGCCTCCTAAATGTGTCAGTCTTATAGTAAGAAGCATTCTTTTTTTTTTTTTTTTTAAAAACAGTCCTCTAAGACAGTAGTATAGTATAAGACATTGAGGTCAGATGGACAATGAATTAAGAAAGCTTTAAATATTTGAGGTCTGTAAGAGAATAGCCACACAATTCTTTCAGAACTAAGTGATCAAAATACAAATGCTTAAACTGCTGATACATTAGAAAGTCCAAAAGAATAATAACTAGGTTTCTTGATCATCTATTTTCCTATTTCCTGTCCGCGCAGAGGCAAAGTTATATAGGCATATTTGCTAGATTTGTAATTAGTGGACATGTATCCTGAACTATTTCAGGCTTCTGCATTTGGAGAAGTGATTGTAACTGCTTCAGTTTTTGTTTCATAACTGCTTTCACTACTGTATTTCTTCTCCACCTACTTCCAAATCCACCGTCTCCTTTCCCATTTCCTCTTGATTTAGATTAGGGTTGTTAATTTTGCTGTGGAAGCACAATTCATACTTGATCTGAAACAAATAAGGAGTCTCATTCTATACCCTTGATAGAAGTTTACTTCTCCTTACTTAGAATCCAGCCACATGTACAATTTATTTGTTATTCAGTACAACTGATAGGGGCAGAAGCTTCTGGTGAAAGGAGGAAGGAGCAGCTGGGCATGGGGAAAGAGGGACAGGAACCTTCTCAAGGGAATATTGTGCCAACAGAGTTTTTATTTCATCAGCAGCTGATGCACTTTAAGAAATCCCCACCTCCTCAGTTGTGCTGCAGCAACCATTCGACCATCCTCTGAGAGGGTGGAAGCCACCAATGGGTGAGAGAAAGAGCATAAACTTCAGTATATGTAATAAAAAGGTAAAGTGGTTCCATTAAACAGTCCTAAAAATCCATACATTTCTCCACTCTTCCTAGACAAACAGTAGTTGTAGGGATTTAACACATCTAAAATCACTGCCTGTAGTCTAGGTAGCTGATGCCCAGTCTTAGCAAGTAGTATTAACAATCTTGAACAAGTTACTTCTTTTCTCTTAGTGTAATAGAAATGGGATCTTTTACCTAGATCTGGCCTGGTTAAACCACAGCTACTGAAACTGAAGCAGGAATTACCTGAAGGGTACATGCAGCCTGCAAGAATGTAGGAGGTCAGAACAGATAATTGTGACAGCTCCTTCCAAATTGAAAACCTCGCTACATTTTAGAATCTTCTTTGGATGAAAAGGCATCTATTTTTTACTGATTCTGCTGCTAACTTGTGACTTTTTGTAATTATGTTTAAATGGTGTTGGGTATGTTATTGCAAATTGAAATACTATCTTTCAATCTCTACATTTTGGCTATGGCCACACAGAAAATGATCCAAATCCGTTCAAATGACAGAAGAAAACACAGCACCCTTCATAGTTTGTGGTAGCCTGTCTGCATGCATTTAAAATTGATTCCAATTGACAGATATGAGAACTTAGACCAGTAGGAATGAATCAGAGGTATAGCTGCCAGGTAAGTTGCCCTAGAAATGGAAGAATATCTTTACACAGCTGTATAGCTTCAGACGGTATTCTTCACCTTTGGGTCTGCTCAGTTTGGCTAGCACTGCTGCACATGGCTAAACAGCTGCTGTTTTCCACCCAGGAGATGGCTGTACTTCAACGGCTGGTAAAGTGATACCTGTACATGTATTTAGGGGCATGCTTTAAGATCCTTTCGCGCTAGTGATGAGATTTTCTTGAACAATTTTGTTTAAGCCATAAGCATCCGAGTAGGCAAGTCTTCCATTTTAGATCGTTTGAACTATGCTGAATGTCTAGAGAGATACATCCCATGCTTTCCAGTCCAAACACTTCAACTGGCACTAGTGACCAACGTAGGAAGAAAAACAAGGAGAAAAAAAAAGACCCTGCTGTAGCTAAGCTTTCAGAAAAGACAGAGCATGAAAGAAAAATATCAAAGCTGGAATAAGCTGACACAATAGGTCCAACTGAGCACTTCAAAACAGTCATCCTAAATCTGTCTCTTCTTGAAACGTTATTTACATGCTTAAAGCTGCTTCAATTTCACGCTGTCAGCCCCAAAAGCAAAACGAAAAACAAAAATCAAGGACACAAATTAAACAAAGTCATGAGAGCGAGCTAAAATCACAATGTTTGTAAAGGTTTATCACATGTCTGGGGAACTAGGTCTTTTGGGTGCTGTTTATTTTGGCATGCCGTTGCCCACTGCAGTGGGATACGCTAATTACCACCAGCGGCCCTCCCAAACTTGAGTCAGAGGGCGTAGGCCTCGCTGCCCACGCTCCCGCTCCTCCTCTGAGGTCACAGCGCGCTGAGCTCCCTCTAAAATTCAAACAGCTCATGCTGCACCGCCTGCCCTGCCCTCGGGGCTCGCCGCATCCTTTCCGGGGGTTTCCTTCCTCTTGGCGGCTGCAAGGCCATCGCCGTCGTCCCTTCCCGCCCGGCGCCCTCCTCGCCCCCGAGACCAGAGGCGAAGGCCTTCGCCCCCGTTAGCTGCGAACAGGCCCAGCAGAAGAGACAGGAAACCGTCTCCTCTCCTGAGCTACGTAGGAACTTACCTCCCTCAGAGGGGGTTATCACGGGGGTGCCTTTTGCCCTTCCAAAAAATTCAATTAACAGAACAAGAAAACCTCAGCCAGGCTGATCTCCGCCTCAGGGAGCCCTCGCCCGGGACGGGGCGGCCGGCACACAGGGATGGAGCGGGGACAGGCCGAAGCGGGGCACGCCGAGGGGGGCACGGCGGTG